ACAGCTGACTTCTGTCATCTGAAGTGCCCTTTGCTGCACACATAGAACTGTGGATGAGTCTCCAAGACATGTGCTTCACATAAAAGGAAAGATTTTAAGTTTCTTCATTGATTTACCCCAATTCTGCAAATGCACTTACCAAGGAGTGTGAAGGACGTGAATTGTGGGAGCTGTTGGTTCTTTCATTTGAGATGGTCCCACCTGTTCAGCAAATGATCATGACATGATAGAAGAGATGTTAAAATGCCCACCCACTCTGCAGAGACATCAGCTTATCCCACAGTGTTAGCAGCCATCAGAGCGACATCATATCTTGTTGACACAAAATTAAGATAGCAATTTCCTAAATATGTTTTTTTTCCCAAATAGCATTAACAAACCTTTGCCCATTTAATCTAAGCACTGCCACTAAAGACAGTGCTAGCTGCAATTCCTGCCAGCATGGTCGGTACAGCGATGGGTGTTTCAATTGTGAAAACCAAATATTATGAATGTATTGGATCACTGGGGGAACATCCAAGTATAACAATGGATTAGATTTCGGAAGGCATGATTCTTCTATAATGTGCCAAAAATGAAATGGGTAACATTAAATAAGAGTGACAAATCTCATTCCATCATTATAAGAAATTGCTGCTAAAGGCATAGTCCACTGATACCAGGTATTCATGGCACCCATCACAAACACATGCAAAGGCAAGTCAACTACCTACCCCAAAACAACACAGGAACACATGGCACAAGCCAATAACAACCTATTTTATCCTTGAAAAGATATATGTGTTGTCAAGTGGTACTACATAGGGTACAGAATATATTGACCAATAATGACAATGCTAATCAGTCCACCCTAAATGTTTCATCTCCTGTGCTCATGGAAAATTTCGAGTTGAACTGAAGTTCAAGTTGTTCCTAAGATTCAAGAGTTCTTTGATAAACAGATATTGGTTTCTAGGGACCACTGCTCCTGTTCAGTGCACACAACTTGAATAACATTGATACTCTTTTGTAGAGGAGGTACATGTGTTCTACTATTATCTTTCATTTTCAACACTGACTGGTTTTTACACAGAAATGGTTACATCATTGAAATCAGCTTAGCCTTTATGCTAATGTTGCTTCTGTTGTGTACATAATGCTGTCCTTCTTTAACTTAAGCTTAATGCAGGGAGCAGAACTATCAAAGACTTCAATTCCATTAATTCCTCACATAAAATTTCAGCTTGATTACATGAATGGTAATTATCACATTGAGCTGGGTGTACAATGGAGCTTTCCTCTCAAGTTTGTTTATATGAAAAAGCCCCATGCTGAAAGATAGCATCTTCAACGGATAAATGTCTGCCTGATTAATTTGATTGAAATTTGGTTAGGTGGCTTCAGTCATTAATGATGTCTTCAAGGAGAACCATGTGGAATAGTTATACGTGCAGTGATAAGATTTGTCCTTTTCCTTTGTTCATGATGCAGGGAATTTTATGAATACAAAGGCCTCTGTTCAAACATTTCATTTAATTCACGATGTAGCCCCTTCTTTTGGTGATTTGAGTCAATACTGACCAACTTAGAATTTGGTTCACTGGTTCATAAGTTTAAAGCACATCTATGTCCCAACAAATACTAATAATTCAAAATGGCTGCCTTTGACTTTTGGTGTGTGGTGAGAATGTCCTCAGGACATCTGCCCATGTCAAGATGGTTTGTGCTTGGGTGACCTCACACTTGTATAAACACAGACCTGGGCAAGGGGAGGACATGTGGAAAGCCCCCTCCATGATACAACATAAATTACCCCTAAAGTGAAGGTGGTGTTTTCTTTCAACACAATCTCGACTGAGGTACTGTCTTCCTTGAAACAGTCATGGCTCATATTGTTACTTGGACCACGGAGATTGCAACCTCCATGTTGTGAAAGTATTATCATGGTTACTTCAGATAACGTTTGTTTTTTCTCTAGAAACATGAAATGTGGATAGGTTCTTTTACTGATTCCATATAGTTTTATTTAATGCTCTAAACAATGAATGTTTAAGATATTAAGAAAGTAATATGTGTTCAAATCTTAAAGGATTACAGATTCTTTTATTTAAAAAACACAGAATCAGGCAAGTCTTATTACAAGATTAGGACATTTTCATATACCTTTAGAGGTGAATATAAAGATATAAGAATAATGAATTTAATCATTGTTTGATGTAGAAAACAACACAGTGTGGTAATCATTAATTTCCTGTGTAGAATGAGAGGATTTTTGACCCATCTTATGATTGACTGATGAACTTTGAAACATGTCCAAACAGTCACACTAACACATTAAGCCTGCAGCAATCTGTCTAAACTGATAGCTGCCTGACAAACATGCCTGTTTATGCTGCATTTTATTCTGATGCAACGGGAAAAATTAGATTGTGTTTCAGTTGTGATGGGAATGCTAATTTGTGGACCAACATGATATGGCACGGGTAGCTCCTCCAGCAGAGACTTCAGTTCAGGTCTCCAGTATTGATAAGTAATTTTATCAAAAACCAATCCATAAACTTGGTGTCCCAATCTGAAAAATATGCAAATGAGATCACCTACCAGAAACTTCTTTTAACGAATCTGCACATACATGTCATGCCAACTTGCATAATATTCCACAAAAGTGAGTTCAGGTTTCCCCGATGTGTGAGTGCTTATGTAAACCAACATGGCTGCTAGTCTTTTGGCTCTGTATATTAAATGGGTCACTTCACTCATGCTTCATATTTCTAAAGTTACTTTAGTTCATGAAAATACATCTTACACTTTAAAAAGTTTAAGTATGACATTAAATGAAAACGAGATAATTATCTTTGTGAGTTTTGTAAATATCACATGTTAGGAAGAAAAAGTATTATTATTCCTGCCATTGGCATGCACTATACGATATTTATTCTTATACATGTATATGTTATTTTTCGATACGAATACAAATGTGTATTTTGAAGCACCTTGTCAAAAAGGACTCACATTCTGGAGAATAACATTTCCATGACATTTTGTGTCGTAGAACAATTTGGTGTTGTTACAACATCTGATTCAGTACATACCTAAATATTAAATTTAGGAGCAGTTAAGTGATAATAATACAAAGAATTTAGGGGTCAGTCATCCACCAGCTGGTTATTTTGCTATTCTACAGTGATGGAGTGTTGTATGCCTTTGTGAGCAAAGCTTTCTTCATGCCAATTTCACCCATCTCCACTCATCTGAAATCAATTGCTAACTACATGAAATTGCCTGTGATTTGATTTCTCTACTTAATAAAACTTGTGTCTCTTTAGGTATGAGGAAGATCATTGAACTTTTCCATCCTTGCTTTCACCATATTTTCCACCCTCGCTGAATTTGTTGATTGGGATCCGAAGATGTAAATTTAATGTAACTGATCAAAAGGGCTTTCATTCTGGCAAGATAGATTGTTTCTTATGATGAATTGCAAATCAGTAAAAAGTGAATTTGCTTTTCCTCTAACTAAGGGAGGTATTCTAGCATCATATCCGTCGGTTAGGAATTATGTTAAGGAAGACTATGGAGGTCGTCAGCTCCATGCTGATTAATGGCAGTGTGATTGTAAACCCAATGGCTTGTGGAGTGAATGTCCCAATGAGGAATGACAGAAGAAATAGATACATTGTTGTAAAGTTTCAGGTTTCAAACTAATTTCATTATGTTCACTGGCTGTGCCTTGGGACAAAGTTTGCAGCTAAATCCAATTTTAATAGGATCCATATCTCTCCTGTGTCACTGACAACCATATGATTAATCACATGCTGTCTGACCAGGAGTTTGAAACTTTGTGTATACACCCTGCTGTTTTTGAATTACCCAATCCAGAAGCTGTCCATTCAGCATTAGACATTAGTTTTATAGACTAGTCCTAGGATGAGTGTAAACTTTGTGTCACTAGTCCTTCTTGAACAAGACAAAAATGTCTTCCACTATGTTTACATTTTGTCACTTTTATTTAGTTCCAATTTGTAGCAAAAGGCTCGCATAATACAAGTTTTATTTCTAATACATGATATTTATGATACAAAAACAGTTGACTAATAATCTCTATTTATTATGCCCAAGCAGTATTTCTCAAATAATAATCCACACAAAGCAGTTATACTAAACCCTGCATATTTGTTTTCTTTGTTTTGCACCCAGTAATATTCCTGATATATGACGGCAGTCTGTAAATATGAGTCTGGACCAGACAATCCAGTGATTGACATTATGAGCATCAATCGATCCAATTGGGATACGATGACATGCATCAACCATGTCAGTGAGTCTAGTCACCCGATCCCATCAGTTGACACTTACGACAAGCAAAGTCGTCATTTATGGCAAGCATGGGTTGCTGAAGGCCTATTCTACCCCGGATCTTCACGGGTGTAAAATGTATTGGTATAGCATTCATGCAACTTTGGTGGCAATGTATTCTGGGGTACAAAAAAAGCGGGGAAAGTGTAGCGTAGCTTTCATCAAGTCTGAGACTGCTAAGAAGGCCAGGCCAACAGACTGCTCTATCAAGTAGCTGCTACACTAACACTTCCTTGCAGAGAAACACAATTGTGTGTCAATTGATTTATATGGAAAAATTCTTTGAAAGGTGACATGAATATTTCAACTGTTAATGTGCTTTTCAGCACTGTAGGTAAAAAATGTATTATATATAGATAAGGGTTCATTAGCTTGTTGTTATATTCAGAGAGATGTCTTAAGAATGTTTGTTGTTTGTTTGTTTATTGACGCCACACTCAGCAATATACCAGCTATTTGATGGCAGTCAGTAAATAATCAAGTCTGAACCAGACAATCCAGTGATTGACATGACCATCAAATACTCAATAAAACCTGCCAATCTGATTAAAAGCCATGTTTATCTCCTAACTTGGAAGCGTTCATGTTGCATGTCACCTATTTCTAGTAGTCATCGGTTTATTATTTCTAGAAATGTTTAACTATTTTCAACTCTGCTGTTTCAGGTGACCCAAGTAACCCTAGGATAGTTGAGCATCCCGACGATGACTATGTTGCCAAGAACGAACCAGCAACGCTTAACTGCAAGGCCGAGGGTATTCCACCACCCAAAATTACATGGTATAGAAATGGAAGACGGGTAGTTACCTCCCCTGAAAATCCCTCTTCCCATCGAATGTTGTTGAATAATGGACAGCTCTTCTTCCTTCGTGTGATTCACAACAAGAATTACAAGCCAGATGTTGGAGTGTACTACTGCAATGCAACAAATATTCATGGAAGTGCTATCAGCAGAAATGCAACACTGGAAATAGCAGGTAAGCAAATATAGAAGTCCAACCCGATCGTCTGTCGAAACAGATTCCACTGGACACAACAGAAAAGATAGCAGCACCAAAATTTCAAATTAGGTATCAATCGCCTCTCATTCACATGCATACAATCAGGGGACAAAATGCTCTTTGCATGCTCATAAGTTTCACAGTCGGTAATTTGATGCCTTTTTTATAATATGATGGTCCACAAAATACTTTACTGAAAGAAGATTGTTGAAAGTCAAGAGTTAATAACTTTTACAACAGCATCATGAATTAACATTTTGTGTAGCTTATTCCACAATATTTGCATTGTAATTTATGCATGCATTCTTAACGCCATCAGTATATGTACTCTTGCACTATATTATTGTTAGTCTTAGTTTGTTGTGTAATCAGATGAACACACATGGTGAATACATCTAAATATTCTTGGCTCTGCAAATTGTCAGCCAAACTTAAAGCTAATGCTAAGATGAGATACACTGCAGGCATTCATTGCACACTCCTTTTTTAAACAAATTGTTTGACAGTGGTGATGTAGTTTTAAGTGTTGCAGTTACAATTTTAAATGGAGATGTGAAACGTCTAGGTGAATCTGTTTTCCTACTGGTTGTATGTGCCAGCCTTTTTAAAATTGCAGAAAAAGTATTATGCATCAGGTTAAAAATGACTAATGTAATAAACACCGCTAACTGTATTACCATTAATAACATTGCACTGGTTTACAGACAGAAGGTATAAGTAAGATGTGTTCCATGTTGTTGCTGCAGCATCCCGGAGGTTAAAACAAGAGATGAAATTTCTGTATCAGTAAAAGTGTTTTCTTCATTAATGCACTTGTATATAGTTCACTCCACCCTCCAGATCTAAAGAAGCTGTTTGCCAAACAACCCTTGAACAGAATACATACACATTACTGTTGTTGCTGCCATATATCTAACCAGAAGAACATTGTAATTGTGTGTGTTGGTTATAACAAACACCTGTCGCCATTTCCTGCCTATCACATGGTAAATATGGCTGAAAAGTTGGAGTTCACATTGCTCATCTAACAAATGTGTGCTGTGACGGCATCATGGTGGAGGCAGCAGACAACCGCGCCAGTGGAAATGGCACCGGGGTGATCACTGCCCATGTAATGATTTGCAACAGGGGAAAATAAACTTGATAATGCATTGTAAGGACTTGTAAGGAACAAGGTCAACTCCTGCAAATGTTACACTCACAGAATGTACCTCCATAAGGAAACACAGATAGTTCCAACACAAAAAGGCTGTTGTTTATTTATCTTTGACAAACTGATAATGAAATCCACCAATTTGACGTTATGATGGACAAGTAATAGCATTATGGTGTAACTTGTACAAAATATATGTCAAATGGGTTCAATAGAACTTGTTCTCCATGATGAGGAGGTCTGTGTTGAGGTGAGACATGGTTGTTGAGTCACAGACCATATAGTGGCATGACCACAACTATCACACCAGTTTACCACATGGAAACATTCAGGGCTTATTGCTATTCAAAATGTCTGTTTCCTGGATATAAGTGTTGACATGAAATGTTCTAAATAGTTGAACTGTTAGACTTGTACAAGGCAGGGAGGAGTCAGGCTACACATATGCTGTCCATTTACTTGACTTTCCAGAACCAGGCATGTTTGGGGGTAACTTGATATCAGATTGTTTTGTATGACATTGTTGCCTTCCTGTAGTTGAATAAATTACTTGCATTTGGAGCATGTTGAGGAAAGACTGACATGCAAACTGTTTAAACTAACAGATCTTGGATGTTAATTTGGTTCTTTGGGCAAGTGATTAACTTAGGACAAGTACAATGTTACTGCAATACTGTTGGATGTATATGGCAGGGGTTCATTTAGTTTTATAAAATATGCACAAATGCTACCTATTATTGAAATATGCAACCTAATACTTATGTCAACACACATAATCAAGAGCATGTAAAAACGAATTATGTTGGTGTCAGCCTAAGCCTTACTTGTCCACACAACATCAGTCTTGGAATATCTCAAGTTTTGTTTCCAAGACCACATCACAATTCTCTGTATTATGTGTAATTTGTCATGCTTTCGGGAGCATCACATTAGTTTGACATCATCAAACTGTGGGTACTTCCAGATTATCTGCACTTGTTCCTATTACATTTACCAGCAATACATCGTTATATTTATGTGACACAGGTAGCAGACTAGCCTATGTTTCAACTTTCATAAATCCATGGGAGGTGCAACCTGGTTTTGTCTGGTGCAACTGGGTTTTTCTGTGAACATGCACCTGGTGCAAGTTAAATCAAGCTCCGTAGATCGATCCCAGTATCCCAGTATTTGCCTTCTCTTTAGGTGTGTAGGGGTGGCAAGGGTGACAAGCAGTGGTGAACTCACCCCCACCAAATGATTTTCATTAATAAGATTTACTTTAATAACATATAGAAAGCTGAAGTCATTCAGTGTGGAATGGATAAAGACTGACTGACATTGATCAGAATATTCCACTGTATCCGCTTCTGGAATGGATTGGAAAGTCTCCAGTGAAAGACACCCTTGTCCTGTGGATGTGTACATTCCTTGAACTATGTCTCCAAGACATTTGTTCATCTCTCACATATTGTGAGCAGAACTCCATCCTGATAGTGCCATCAGACGATACATACAGACTGGCTGAATGATTCTCATGGCAGTGTTTTTAATTCTGAATTCTCAAGCATCATTTATGTTTGTGTTTCCTCGGAATTAGGATCAATCTCTTTTGACACCATTGAAAGCATTTGGGAGTTGTTCAAAGTCACATTTCAACTAAAAACATGAAAAATTCATTGTTTCTCACTACACGGTATATATTAATTCAATTTTCTCTAAAAGATTTCTCATGTGCTACTTTCTGACGAAATATACTTCTCAACATTTGCGGAGGACCACACATTTCACTACATTGCACTAAAGATGACTATTGTGGTTCTTACCACATATTGAGTTGTACATTTCACTTTTACAGGGACAAATAGAATGAAATAGATTGAAATACACTGAAAGGAGATTCAACTGGGGAAAATGAGACAGTCTGAGAATTAATCAAGTACATTAACTTAACTATGTACACATAGTCTTTTGAGAGAGGAGTCTCGAGCTAATGACATTTTGACTGTTTAAGCAGGTCACTAATGAGAGTAGGAAAGAACACTCTGCACACCGATGTCTGTAGATTTGGACACACCAATACACAATGTATATACAGAATTTTGCATACACCCAAAGTGTCTCTTTGACTCTTAACAAAGACCAGGTTAAGTTCAAAGTAATTTTTAATTAGCAATTGTGAATATATTTACTCATGGCTAATATGAATTATACAATAACTTTTGAAGGTCATATTTCAAGTAATACTTATGGCATTAGGCACACTGTATTCATACTTTAATGATTATGTTTGTATGCAAGCATGGTTCATTCTCAGATAAAAGCTACACAAATTTCTATGAAAACAGAATTGTTCTATATTTGGGTGAAAGGGGGCAGATTATGGGTCAATGGTTACCCCCCCCCCCCCCCCCGATAACTACCAAATGTGATGTGACTATATAAATCTTTTTCAGACCAGAACTCAATAAACCCAATAAACATTGAAATCAATTCTTATAAATAAATACATCAATAATAATAACTTTACAGACAGCTGTTTTATCATTAACACTGAAGACAACAATACGAAATCAGTAACATCATACAGCAACAATAATGCACCACAAGCCCCGCCCTTTCTATTGTGAGCCAATCACGGAACAGTAGGTTGTTAGTGGGCGTGACCAACAATTGCTTGGTTAGCCCATCAAATGCCACTGAATCACTTGCAATTTAAGTATTTTGTAATAATGCTGAAAGGGGCATACAACGATACAAACTCAATCTCTTATGTCAGAATTTCACTCACAATTATCCCCATCATTTGAACCTGTGTTTGATTGTTTTAGCATGCTAACAGTTACAAATCACAAATAGTACCTACCTCAAGCAACTGTGTATCACAGTATCAACTGTGTGTTACTTGATCTTCATGTTGCATCCTATCACTTCAGTTTTACGAGATGAATTTCGAGAGGTGCCATCTTCTGCAACTGTGGCTACAGGAGAGACCGCAACATTCCACTGCAAACCACCGAAGGGGGAGCCTGAACCTAAAGTTCTGTGGCAGAGAAATGAAGACCCTTTGACAATAGATGGACGGATTTCTATGAACAACAATGGTGACCTGGTGATTGAGAATGTCCAAGTTACAGATGGTGGAGAATACACGTGTCTTGCCTTGAACAAGGGTGGCGAGAAACTGAGTCCCCGTGCAAGACTCACTGTTTTGGGTAAGTTAATGTGCATATTTAGTGTAGATGCAAGAAACACAAACTTCTGACACTCGCACCCACAGGGATTTTTATTACATGATGTTGTGCTAAATCCATACCCTAAAGCATGCTTAGTGCTACGTTATAACCCTGGTCAAGGGATCAGTATGCAGTTGATGTTCATTCTGATCTGGGCGGTTGGGTAGCCTCGTGGTTAAAGCGTTCACTTTCCCGTAGACCCGGGTTCGATTCCCGACATGGGTACAATGTGTGAAGCCCATTTCTGGTGTCCCCCGCTGTGATATTGCTGGAATATTGCTAAAAGCGGCGTAAAACCATACTCACTCACTCACTCATTCTGATCTCCCTGGGAAGTATACAACCCATTCTACCTGTGAGGTGCTAGACAGTTCACAGTCACATTACCATCTCATCCTACTGGGTACCTTTGCCCATTTGGGTGAACAGAGGCACATTTCAAACAAAGTCACTTGTCTAAGGGGACACCACATGTAACATGTGCTTCAGTGTGGGGCAGGACTGAAGCCCTAAAAAGTGTCAGGAGTCAAGCTGCCTAACGTGGTCACCCATCCAACTACTCTCCACGACCATCACTGTTCAACTAAACATGATTCCGAAAATGGTAGAGAATCATTGCGCAGCATGATTTACACTCCAGTTTCTGAATTAACCTTTAAAAATATTTGAAAGTGTGTATCTATTGCAAACATAATAGAATTTATTGTACAAGATGCCTTTACGGGGCAGGGTACAAGCACAATCAATTTGAAAACAAACCATGTATGAAAATGCAGTTTGTGTTTTTGCTGTTAACGTGTATGGTAAGGCAGTCATTATATTTTTTTCTTTTCAGAAAAACCTAAGATTCGTCAACTACCAGATGATATCCAAGCCAATGAAGGAGACACTGTTGAACTCAAGTGCCAGGCCATTGGTGATCCTGAACCAACAGTCACTTGGAAAAAGCAGGATGGACGCATATCCTATGGAAGGTAAAAGACAAACTGGAGTTTAAAATGGCAGTTTAATTCTCCAAAGATATTTTTATATAACTATAATTCACATTTACTGTGTTAAGGCATATATCATGTTGTGCCAGCCACAAACTAAGATCATTGTCTTGTATTGATTTTTCCTGTGAGGAAGCAAATTTGTTCAGACAAACTTGTTGCTTGAGCTTGTCTAAGGGAGATAACTGATATGTAGACCATAGGAAGTGAAGCAGCAGTAAAATATATTACATTTCCATTACATTCATGAATCTTGCAATATTCAGAAAAAGTGGTTTCAACTGTGGATCATATGTTTAAATAAATCTCCTCCTGTCAACCTACATAATAGTCTGCCTGCAATATCAAATGAAGAGAAACAGTACTCTGTAAGGGAAGAAATGGCTGTATTTCAGAGCACGGCAACTTAATGATGGCACCCTGCGTATAGAGAAGGTTCAAGCAGAGGATGACGGCCAGTACATCTGTGTGGCTGAGAACCTGGCTGGAACAGTAGAAGCGGCAGGCAGACTTTCCATTCAGAGTGAGTTATTATCTACATCAAGAGGTGATTTGAAATGGGGTTTAACATCGCATTGGACATAATTGCACTTATGTAGCGGCGTGCATGCACATGGTTGTGGCTGCTTGTACTTGTCCAGAGTAATGCCAACTTTATAATGCTAGCCCACTAAAGATACCCCACTCAGACACATTATATTGACTCTGAACCTGCCAGTTTTAATCCATAATGTCGAGCACCAGGCAGGGTAACAAGTACAACCTTTTAACATCTTTGGTTATGACGAGGCCAGGGACTGCACTACATCAAGAAGAACCAAACTATTCACAAATCAAATCAACTTTTCTTCAGTTATGGAACTGACAAGACGTTTTATTTGCAGCTCACCCCTCCTTCTTGATCAAACCTCTGGACCAAGTGGTAGGACAGGGACGTACAATAACACTGCAATGTGTAGTCACTGGAAACCCGTCCCCTACAGTCTTCTGGAGCAAAGGAGCGGAACAGGTGATTGTTTACATTCAAACCTAGCCTTGCTTATCATGATTAACCAATCTGATAAATTCAGTGTCACTATATAATAATAACCGCAACGCAAACCTGTTTAATATACTAAATATGCCATAACGTCATTCCATATGTTTTTTAGCCACTGATGTTCCCTAACCAAAAGAACGGCAGGTTTTCGGTGGCAGAAGATGGAACATTTAGAATTGAGCGTGTTCAGTTTGAAGATGAAGGAGAATATGTGTGTCAAGCTTTGAATGTCATCGGTAGTGCCAAAGCTACCGCACGGATTGATGTTCGACGTAAGTACTTTCTTCAGCTGATCGATGGAGCTAGGCGTTATGAACATCTTCATGATGGAATCCACATTCCAGAAGTTTCATGCGATATTGTTTGTGTTTCAGAGAGAACAAATCTTAATGGCAAGTTACAACCAAATATACTCTGTGCACTCATTTATAAACATTCACTCGCCAATTTCCACACCACCAGAGTTTGTAAGAGGTTATGAGGAATATAGACTCTTGATTTATTTTTCACTGTTTCATTCATTTGGGGTATTTGACGGATAATCTTCTATAATCTGCAGTCTCTTGATATTCGTATTGTGTGTTTTTGCTTCTCATTTCTTTGCAAGTTATTGTCTTTATTGCTGAATCATGCATTATTATGTTTAGTTGTTTATTTTAGCTCACCAGAACCTAAGGTTCATGTGTGTTTATGTTTATTGTTGTGTCGACTGTTTATCAGGAATCCCCAGATCTATTAAGGTGAAAGATCCCTACTTCAGTTGGCTTTTATGGAAAACATGAAGTACAAGAATCCTTCTCTGAGCCTAGCCTTGTGGTTAAAGTGTTCACTCGTCACGCTGAAGACCTGGCTTCAATTCCCTCCATGGGTACAATGTGTGAAGACCATTCCTGGTGTCCCCCATCCTGATTTTGCTGAAATATTGCAAAAAGTGGCGTAAACCATAGTCACTCACTCACTTACCCAGAAACCATCAACAAGAACATGTAAACTCACTGATGTTTGACTGTATGCTAAATGGTACAGTGACAGCCAAATGTACACATATGGACATACTCAGTCAACCACACCCCCACTGACATGCTGGTATTTGTACAATTAATTACTGGATCACCATGAAACTTCATCAAGAGCATCTACAATGATACAAAGACACCTATATAATGCCCGTGAGCTACAGACATACAAGGGCTCTCTCTCTCCATTCTTTGGGTCGGTTTACTACAGTAAGAGAAGGTTATATCTTCTTTGTGTATCTCTTTCTTTTGCGTTCTTATATCTTGCACACTCTTCATGGTTATTGAGAAATCAGTCTTGTCTTGTTTGTCAGTAACTGAAAACAATACTTACTTGTCAGAGTAAGAGGCTGTCACAGATATGTCTTTCAGACAGAATTGTGATATCATGTTAACATGCCTACCATAACAGCAATATGGAAGTGGACCTAGGCCAGACTTTCATAAGAACTTGGTTTACAAATCTGCCTTTTTTCAAACATTTAAATGTGAAGAGATTGTTGCCAGCCGTTTACGTAGCCACATTCATGTTATTTAGTAGCCACATTCATGTTATTTAGTAGCCACATAGTCTCAAGTCCGAAGTAGAAATGTCACTCTCTCCCTCTGTGTTGGACCTCCACCCTCTCCCCAACCTCACTTCCAGTTGATGCAGGCCTTCCCATAATTCCAGAACAAGACTCACGACCTCCACCAATCATCAAGCTAGGTCCCCAGAATCAGACACTTCCACCAGATGAAATGGCAATGCTACCATGTCAGGCTACAGGGAACCCACAGCCAACCATTAGGTGGTATAGGAAAGATCGACCAATCCTTGGCACCAATGCCCGGTTGGTGATTCTGGACTCTGGAACTCTGCAAATATCAGGTAAGGCATCTGAAAGTTCCCTACTGTAATAAAATAGTTTGCAAGAAATTATGTTATGTTTTTCATACAAAGAAGAGGAATCAAGCCAATATTACAGAGTAAAATCTTGAATGTGAAAGTTTGTCAAAGCATTATCAAAGTGCTGTCACTGTATAGAACAACAACTCACAAAGTGCACTTTCTCATTGCAGTTCAAATAATATTTTGATACATTTGTTGTATTGCTTGTTAATTACCACACTGAACGTTTCAGATGTACGGGCAAGTGATTCTGACACCTATACTTGTAAAGCTGTGAGTGAAACAGGAGAGACTGCCTGGAGTGCTTACCTGAAGATTACAGGTATGTAGGCAATAACTCATGTACTGTTAACTTGTTATGAGTAAAGATACGTGCTGTGGACCATTTTATCAATACCTGTCAAGGTTACAAGGGAAAAGTTTAAGTTTTCCAGAATGACAAACATAAATGGACATTTTGTCACATTGAGTCAAAAGGAAGGAGAAGTTGTGAGTGCTGTCATGGCTATTTAGACAACAATACATTGCTATATGCACGCTACATTGCAGGCCGAGGCCCTTACAGACGGACACAGAAATCTCAGACGTTTCCAGGGCGACCTCTAAAGCCAGTGGCGACGGACATTACAGACACAACTGTCCACCTGACATGGCAGCCCAACACCAAGAAGAAAGGAGATTCCCCGACGTATGCTTTCATCGTGGAATACTTCAGTCATGAGACTGAAAAGGTAAACAGTCATGCTTTCCCCTATGAAAACTAAATAATGGCTTCAGGACCTTGCTTTGATTATTGTTTGTATAAAATCTCAAGTTTGTGTACATCATCATCACAGATGTATGTCATAAACACAGATAGGTTTGTTGTTTGATGGCTGGTTAACACAACACTCAGCAATATTCTAGTTGTATGAGAGTGGTATGTATGTAATCCATTGATTGACATCATGAGCAGCGTTCCACACAATAACTGGGATGTGGTGGGGTGCCCTCAGCCAAGTCACAGAGCCTGACAAGAGTTGCCTCTTGCAACATGCATTGGTTGCTGATGAGGGGGAGAATGGGGGAGGGGGTTACCTGGAATATATCTGTGAATCATGTTTTTTTGTTCACCAACTTTGTATGGTTGAGTTCTGATACATGTAAACAATTGGTTTCAGGGATGGGTAGTGGCCTCCAACTCTATCACTCATGAAAGTTTCACAGTCCATGGCCTTGAACCAGAGACACATTACGTGTTTCTTGTGCGAGCTGAGAACTCCCATGGAATCAGTCAACCCAGTGAAATATCGGATTCTGTTGTCACAAGAGGTAATGTTTTTTTTCTTTATCATACTACTACTTCCAATACACTACTCGTATGTCAAAATCCATTTACCAAGTGAATGGTCATGGCGCTACATTATAATTACCTGTCAAGGGAGTAATTAGCATGCACTCGATTTTCATTCTCAGTCATTGGCAGGACTGTAGCCCGAGAGAATCCACCTACTCTCCACTACTAACATTGCTTAACTTCACCTGAATTGTGATCTGTGAAAGTTATACCCTTACAAAATATTGCAGAATACCGTAAATCTTGAAATTAACGCAAGCATGAATTAAATGCGAAAAATGCATAAACTTGCATTAATGTCTCCAAATGACTTTCAACAATAAGACGGCCTCACTGCACACTTTGGAAAGCGGAAATACCAACTTGGATGTAAACACAAACACAGTTAACTGAGCAGCAGTTGTACCCTTACAAAATATTGCAGAATATACTCAAGATGGAAGATATATGTAATGAATGCTTCCTTATCTTCCTTGAAAGAATGGAGTGGCATCTGGCATTTGATGAAGTATGAAACCATAGTATAACCCCTGAATGACTATTTCAGAGCGCAGAAAACCCAACAAGAAGATCAACTTACCCAAGTCTGTGATCAGGGAGAAGCTGGAGGGCATGGTTGTGGAGATCATGAAAGGGGAGGCAATCAACGCTACTGTCATTAAAGTCACATGGAGGGTCAGTATTTCAACCAGAAAATAGGAATAGTTCTCAGGCACTGCCCACATCATAAAGTTCACCGCAGTTTTGTTTTTTATTTCCATTTTAAGAAAACAGAAAACATCCTTAAATATTCCAAGTCCAACGGTAGTCAAATACTGTATTCCAATATTTTACTCATCAAGGAATACATTTATGTAGGGAGGCCCTTTCCCAGGTTGATTGTACACAATTGTCGATCTGGTTGCATACTAGTGAACAAAGAAAACACACAAATAAACACCATCTGCCCGCCCACACTATATTTTCAAAAGCCATTGCCTGAGAACCAATTCTTTTATTTTTTTAAACCTTAACCCATGGAGATAAAGTGGCCATGTTTACAAGACATTTCACTGTGAACACATCATGCAACATATTTCACCCGATAATGTTACGAGGTCTTTTCCAACTTGAAATCAGTAAGTGACCACACAAGATCAACGAATAATGAACTAATTATATTGACACACACAGTTTTAGATTTTAAATAACACAAAAAGCAACACAATAGGTCAAACATGTGGCAGCAGCGATAAATAAATAAATATCCGGCCCTACAGTAGATGTGACAACCATGAGATAAGGGACCTAATGGCTGGAATATCACAGTATGACTTCTTACTGTATTATAAAACTTGGGACGACAATAATACAGTTCATAAACTTCAATTCATATTTATTACAGCTATACATGACATCAGACTCATTTTCTGCAAAGTCCCATTTTCAGATGCATAACTGTTTATGTCTTAGATATAATGTCTGATAAATTGAAAGCAGAAATGTATGCTGAAATAATGTTTTATTACATTACGAACTAACGAGAGAAAGCTAAGTAAGTTCTGTACAGTCCACACACAGGGCTACTAATTATGGATGTGGACATCTTTTTTCATGACATCACAGCGCAAATGTATCCCAGGACCCATAAGGTCCCTTGTCTCCTGGGGGGTCACACATGTCAGTGCACTCTCCAATGTCCAGAGTAACACCATGAATGATCCAACTTGCAATGTTTGTCAACAACCAAGGGAGGTAGCTCTAAATACCACTGTCATAATCTGGCTACTATAGCACTCAACATTTCACAAGAGTTTTAATTTTACTGACAATTTCCACAAAAAGATCAACAACAATCTCTACAGTCACATAGCAATATGTTGAAAAAATCCTGCAATGCGTCATTGAGACAAAAGGCCATTTTCACACATATCTCCGTATGAAGAAGTTTGTGCAACATAGTTATGACTTTGCAGGTTCTGAAAGGAAGAGATGCAATTGGTGGCTTCGTCATTGAATATAAGAAGATCACAGATCTTCGGCGAATGACGTACGGGACAGTTATAACCAAGAAAGTCCTTGACCCATACAGCACCTCCTATATGCTGTACAATCTGCACAGCTATGCTTGGTATGAAATCTGCATCAAAGCTTATGGTGGTGAAGTCAAGTCCCAGTGCAGCAGCCCTGTTAAAGTGCCGACAAAGGAATCAGGTAACGCTCTTGTATTCTCAGCTTTCAATAAACGCATCAAGCTTATGGCTTTATATACTGAACAAAAACTTTAGGGATCATGAATATTTGTTTGTTGTTTAACGCCGCACTCAGAAATATTCCAGCTATATGACAGCAGTCTGTAAATAATTGAGTCTGGACCAGACAGTCCAGTGATTGACATCATGGGCATCGATCCACGCAACTGAGAACAATGACATGCAACAACCAAGTCAGCGAGCCTGACCACCCGATTCCATAGGTGGCCTTTTATGGCAAGCATGGGCTGCTGAAGACCTATTCTTCACCAGATCTTCACGAGTCGAATCGTGAATAGTTTTGGGGATATTTTTTTTGTTTTCATAAAAATATTCTAAAAAATATTCATGATCCCTACCTCTTTTTGTTTAGTATATGTGTACCTTGTGTTCCTACAAAGGGAATCCCTCTTCAAATACATTTATACAGCATTTAAATACAGAGTGTGAATAATTACAGAATAAAAGCATCAGTGCTGTCAAACAATCTTTACCTTGCCAAACTTTCATTTTCAGTGCCCTCTGCTCCCCCTGAAAACATAATCATCCACAAGGAGCAGGAAACTGTCATCCACATTCGATGGTCTCCTCCTCCGAAGCCAAAGAGGAATGGAGATATCCAAGGCTATGATGTAAGTTGGTTTCATTGTCAGTCTAGGTGCCTATCTTCAGTGGTCAATTCCCCCTCCCAGCCTTTTCTTATTGTCATTTTTTAATTTATTATTATCCCCCGCCGCGCGAAAGCGCGAAGCGGGGGATATAGTATTCACGACCGTCCGTACGTACGTCCGTACGTCCCACCTGTTTGTTGCCGCGATATCTCAAGAGCTAAACACTGGATTGTCTTCATATTTGGAACTATGGTGTATATACAGACTCCGCAGACACCAGTCGGTTTTGGTGACCTTGATCCCATTTTCAAGGTCACAGCAGGCATATCTGCTTTTGGAGTTGGAAAACGGTGTTGCCGCGATATCTCAAGAACTAAACACTGGATTGTCTTCATATTTGGAACTATGGTGTATATACAGACTCCGCAGACACCAGTCGGTTTTGGTGACCTTGATCCCATTTTCAAGGTCACAGCAGACAAATCTGCTTCTAGAGTTGGAAAACGGTGTTGCCGCGATATCTCAAGAACTAAACACTGGATTGTCTTCATATTTGGAACTATCGTGTATATACAGACTCCGCAGACACCAGTCGGTTTGGTGACCTTGATCCCATTTCCAAGGTCACAGCAGACAAATCTGCTTTTAGAGTTGGAAAACGGTGTTGCCGCGATATCTCAAGAACTAAACACTGGATTGTCTTCATATTTGGAACTATGGTGTATATACAGACTCCGCAGACACCAGTCGGTTTTGGTGACCTTGATCCCATTTTCAAGGTCACAGCAGGCAAATCTGCTTTTGGAGTTGGAAAACGGTGTTGCCGCGATATCTCAAGAACTGAACACTGGATTGTCTTCATATTTGGAACTATGGTGTATATACAGACACCGCAGACACCAGTCGGTTTTGGTGACCTTGACCCCATTGTCAAGGTCACAGCAGGCAAATCTGCTTTTGGAGTTAGAAAACGGTGTTGCCGCGATATCTCAAGAACTAATCGCTGGATTGTCTTCATATTTGGAACTATAGTGTATATACAGACACCGCATACACCTGTCAGATTTGGTGACCTTGACCCCATTTTCAAGGTCACAGCAGGCAAATCTGTTTTTGGAGTTGGAAAACGGTGTTGCCACAATATCTCAAGAACTAATCGCTGGATTGTCTTCATATTTGGTACTATGGTGTACAGGCGGGGGATATTTCGTCACTCTGTGACAAATTCTTGTTATTATTAAATTCAAACGGTTTTACTGTTACCCCTTCCTTTGACGTTTTTTTATAGAACTTTTACATGTTCTGTATCCTTCCATCACATCTGGAACGGAAATGACAACTCTATGTGTGTGTGCGTGTGTACGTGTGTGTGTGTGTGTGTATGTGTGTGTGTACTAGTCCAGACTTCTGCTGGTTTTATAGAGCTAGCCTAATGAGATACCATGCTGCAGTTTAATGGCTGCCCAACTCCGACACATTATACTGACTCCAAGCCGACCAGACCTTGTTTTATCCCCTAAATACTGAGCGGGAGGCACAGTAACAAGTACCATCCTTTAACATCTTTTGATATGACGTGGCCAGGGATCTAACCACTTGACCACGGAGGCACTCTAAATAACTGATATTCCAATTCTAGGTGCATCTGCATCACAAAATGGTTGTTGTACCTGGGTATTTGGAAGACCAAGAGACGCTCTATCCTTCTGTGATTAGTTCCTGATGTGTTTTGTGATTGGGGGGTAGGCACAATGTACACATACCTAGGACAGATGAAATATGAAACCATGTCAATAGTGAGGTAAACAAATGCTATATTTATGTCCAGATCTACTGCATGGACAATGACCGGAAGCACAACTGTAGCCTTTCCACCAATGATACGACATCAAGTGCGCTTGTGAGGAACATTGATGCCGATCTCACCTACAGGATAAGACTAGCTGCCAAGACCAGCAAGGGACTGGGAGTATGGAGCAAGACATTTGTTGTTGGTAAGCACTTCCCAATGCATGTACTGTTAGTTTTTCACTCTCATGGCCCCTGTGAGTGAGTGAGTGGTTTTACACCACTTTTAGCAATATTCCAGCATTATCACAGCAGGGGACACCAGAAATGGGCTTCACACATTGTACCCATGTCGGGAATCGAACCCGGGTCTTCGGCTCAACGAGCAAACGCTTTAACCACTAGGCTACCCGACCGCCCCTGGCCCCTGTGAAGATCTGGGTTAGAACTGGTCTTCAGCAACTCATGCTTGTCATAAGAGGCAACTAACAGGATTGGATGGTCAGACTTACTGACTTGGTTGATGCATGTCATCATATCCCACTTGCATAGATCAATGCTCACTGGATTGTCTGGTCCAAACTTAATTATTTACAGACTGCTGTCATATAGCTGGAATATCGCTGAGTGCGGCGTTAAACAACAAACAAACAAAAACACCAAATATTTTACCCTCACGGACTATGCCAGGCATAAAATCTTTTAAGGTTATACTCCTTTTCCCTTGACAACTGACTTAACTGACTGCACAGGAGGACACAAGGTGCTAGTGACAGGATCCAATTTTCCAATGTACATCCCCCATCTGTGTCCATAGCAGTCTGGTGTGCACGACATCTTTCCAGCCTCTAATTGCTAAATGAGTGAAACATTTAAAATGCAATCCATAATTTGGGCTTTTTAGAAAACAAGGCCATGGCACAATATTGAAGGGGACTTAATTAGTGAAGATATCCTTTCAACTCCAGCTCTCTAATGCTGCTTCTTAAGCATGCCATGAGCCCAAATGTCAGCAACGGTTCTGCCAATTACTGTTATAATATCGTTTGTTGTGATTTATCGCAGGATGAATATAACATGAGGCTAACCCCTCTAATGCATTAAAAGCTGGGGCCATCGGCAACAATCCTGTCTGGACCCCTTGTAACAGGCCCACTTGGAAAAACCCACTCAATTTGGATAACACCCATCTTGATTGTAATTTTCTCACATCAGCTGGACAATTAACAGTGGCATACACCTGATCATGTTTTACTAAGAGTTATCATTTAGCTTATGCTGTTTTGTTTTGTCAGTGTAGATCATCATTGAAAAGATCATTTCCTTGAAATTCACATAGACATAGCTTGCCATTTTGGTGTAATTGCTCAATAATCTTGTCACAATAATCCCAGATGTGCATCACTGTTAATGATTTGTGTTACCTATTACTCAGAGTTGCTTCAGAAGTCCAGCCCTCTTGAATAGCTTCATGTATGGGGAGACATACAGAAACTGTTTCATTGCCAAATAATGTTAAATAGTTTACCGTCTAATCAAAACGTGAATGAAATTAAGCAGAAACAATTGGGTGAAAGTCTGTGGCACTGTCATTCAATCTTGTCATTTTCAATTGCTAGCCATGGCTGATGACAAACTCAAGTCCACGTTTTCCCCTTTCGTGGAGATTGGACCACTCCAATGATGACTTTCAAATTTTCTGAGTGTCGCGAAATGCATAATCGTGACTCAGACAATTGATGCACATTTTGTTCCTGAAGTGACAGTTACGAGTAGAGGGAACTTGCAGTGAGTCACACGAGAGAAGGGGAATTAACCGCCCCTGTCAGTAACTCTTTTGTCTTGGAGGGAGAAAAGCCTCTGGTATTTGTGCCTCCTTGTGAAATCTTTAAATCAGCGAGATTTCTGCACAGGACCAAATCTGTCGAGAACTTGTGTCACAGACACTTGAGGATGAGATTTTCACAGAATTAGAATCAGTTCTTCTTTGAGTTTGCCTCTTGTTCCTCGTCTTCTCCTCTTCTCGTCTTAAGGTTTCGGCTGCAGATTTGTGTTTGTTTACGATGAAGGTATTGACAATTGCAAGGAGATAAAATGGAATTAAAATCTCCAAAGGTGACTCAGCAATGTTCTTCCTTGACGTGGGTGATGTGACTTTGTTTGAAATCTGAAATCCTCCTTGATTAAAATTCAGAATAAATCTCATCCACGGAATTCACAGCAGTTTGTTTCATCTTACTTCACCTCAGATGAACTTAACCCATATTTACACTCATTGCACAAACCGTACCAGCGGATGTGACAGCATGGGGTGTAACGTTTTTAAATCATCTACAGTGTTAACCTAAAAGATGGCAAGATTAGATTCTTGAGATAACAGCATTACCCTCATAAATACTGCTTTATCATGACCCATTTGAAGTCATCTCGATGTCCCCGTCAACGGTGTTGGACTTACTGGATGGGATTATGATTGTGAGATTGTTTATGATTAGATTCAAGACAATTCCATGGAGATAAAACAGAATTAAAATCTCAAATTGTGAGTCATCATAGAGCAGACCGAGACTCCATGCTGTTGGCATCTCCAATAAATTAGTCTGGAGGTGTATTAGAAACATAAAGCCGACACTTAACTGGAACCTTCCCCTCTTTTTAGCCTGGAAATGAGGGATTTAAACATTGGATTCTCATTGCTGTTCTTTGAAATGCCTTTTTTATGATAAGAAGGTGGTGGTGTGATCACAAAGTTAAGGCCCTGGTGTCCAGGGTGATCATAACGTTTTGCCCATCCCAGATTTCAGTGATGAGGAATGAAAGTTTCCCTGCCTGCTTTCCATGGTTTCTTTAATGAAAAGGTGAAAATTTCAATGACATTTTTCAGTTTCATATCATGGTTTGACAGTGTCATCAGTTAAGATAAGAAATTGCTAGTAAGAAGCTTTCTGAGCAGCATGACCTGCCAGATGCTTGCGGCTCTGACGTTGTATGCAAGATGGATGCTTGGATTTACGGGATGTTTTGTAAACAAAACATTGCCCCCAGGAATTGTGGAAACCATAAATCCTTTGACTTGATATGATTTCTGTTTACAATCTTTGTCAGACTTCCAGTGTCATTATCTGACATGTGCCCATGAACAGGTTTTGTTTGTGCAGAAGAAATCAGATTAGACCGTCTCCATTTCTTCTATTTCTTTATAACGACACCCTGAATAAGGGTCATTTTTCGTTTAAAAATGTGTCAAATTTGATCACGTTTCAATCAGTCAGCAATCTAGCTCAATACGTCTTACAAAAAAGATTGCAAAACTTAATAAATCATGGTTCAGTGTAATGAGAGATCTTGAAAGATCTTTTTCATTTCTAGTTTTGAGTTAAAGGCAACAAAATACAATTCTGTCACAAAAGGATTTTAAAGTCAATTCATCCTTCCAAAATTAGAATCTCGGGCAATAAGCTGATGTCTTCATCAGAATGCCGATTTTTAGAATGACCAAATTAGTGTCATTAATCTGTGATAATTAAGTTTCTTGCTGTGCCTGCAAAAGACTGCACGTGCCGAAATGACAGACGAGTGTCGGGCCAGTTCGTAATGTGTTTAAGATTGAATTCTTCCAGTCTCAACCCTCAGACAATTCATCAAACAATTGTTATTGAGGATGGGACAGGAATGTCATCAAATTCGGATTTCATGATCGGGATGCCACCAGTGGTGATATTGTGTGTTATTGTCGTGGCATTTCCACGTGAAATTGTCTTTGTCTGGGCTCATTCTTCACTAAGAAAAATTTACATGGGGGGGATTAATTCCCACATCCAATTCCTATGGGAGGGGGTTTGGGTCAAAACTTGGGAAGAGGAGAGGAAGGTTGGGGGGCATGGATGGATGGGGTGATAGAAATGAGTCATAGAATTTAGCTTTTGTCACCGTTGGGGAAGGAGACTAGATGTTGAAGTGTCTGCTTAGGTTCGCAAGTAAATTACTTCTCCGTCTTCAACATCCTTTCAAGAGGTAAGACAGTTAGCTGACATGCTTTCTCGTTGTTATTGGACAGTTTTTTCAGCTACATCCTCATTTTCATAAGGACGCTCCGCGAAGCCTGTCGTCGGTGGTGATCAGGTTCGGAGACAAAGGGGATATTTCATGGGGGGTTGACAGCACCACAATAGCTGAGATTACGATAGCGCACTGGGCGAATCGTCCCCCATTGTTCCTGGATTGACTGCTTTGTTTTCATCAGTGGGAGGACCGAAACTCATTAAGTGGTTTAATTAACTAAAGCCATCTCATCCGTTAAAAAGTACAATGTTGTCTTTTGGAAATGTCCTTAGGAAGGTGAAGCAGGCAGGATAATTAATTGAGGTCGGGGTCTAGAGTGTGCTGCGCTTCACATGTCCAATCTTTGTGTTTATTTCGCCAGGCGTAATGATACAATTTGACTGACAATAATTGTTCAGTTTTCCTAACGCTGTTCTTAATTTCATAATAACCAATGAAGAGTTGATCGCTCGGGCGAGTAACGAACCTGTGACTCGACTCTTTTAATTCATACCATTAGCTTTCTTCATTTTCTCTTTTGATGAGTTATGTGTTTGACTTGTGACTTTGATATAACTCATGGCACCCCACCAACCAAATTCCACACTCTTAATCATAACTGAATTTTTTCTAATCCATTTAGCATAAAATGTAATCCTTTTAGCGAATTCCTATTAATGCTACAAATGAACTTCTTTCTTCCAGATTGCATTTCTCTGTGTTAATTAGTTCTGGTCAGATAGTTTAATTACGAATTTTGAATTAAGGCACACTTTTTTTAGATTAAGACGTAAAATTCTCATTAGCAAAACTGATTGGCAGTGATGATTAACATTTTGTTTACTCATGAGTAGGTATGAGATTTATAGCATTCCCCCCTTTAAACCAAAGGCATTTGTCAACATAATGTTATCTGTCCTGCAGTTTGAATTGACTTATTCCATTTCATTGAATCTGGGAACATTCATTAATCAAAACAAAACTTGTCAACTTCAGATGGATGAGTTTGCAATATATATGTAAACTGAAAATTGGAACATGATTAGTAATCAAATTATTTTGCTCGTTGCACGGGTTAATGAGAATGTGTCTCTTGTTTTCAGGACCTGAGCAGCCAAACATTATGAAGGAGCCTTGGTTTATCGGCATGCTCATAAGCACAATTGGAGGGACGTTGTGGCTAGCTCTCTGCATCTTCAGTGTGTGGCTGTGTCGCAAACGGAAAAATAGGAAAAAGTTGGCTCAGAATGGAATGTACAGTGGTAAGTTTGGACAAGTTTTATATTTACCACTGAATGAGGAGATAAACCTACTGTGTTTTGAAATTAGAGGAAGTATAATGGATTCATAGAAGGTCTAAATTTAATTTAGAACCGAAAGCATCAATGAGGATTGATCACACAAATATAAAACTCTATTTTCCATAAAACTATTTTCTTTGAGAAACTATTTCCTATAAGACAATTTTCTTTAAAAATAAAACGTCTTTCCATTGGACTATTTTTCCTTAAGACAATTTTCGTTAAAAACAATTTTCACATACACCAGAATCTTATTTAATCATATCTGACATTTTTCACTTCCTGCAGCTGTACCTGTACACAAGTCGGACGAATCAGCCAGGTAAGTCCACAATCACATTCTGGTTGCCTTGAATTGTCTAATATTTTACTTGACACACTTCCACCATTGGTCATAGAGGATATATTTATTAAGTTCAAGTTCGTGTGAATACTGCCATAGAGATCCCCAGCAAGAGAGACTAGCTTCGCTAAGATCACTGATGTTGTCACTATTTGATAGTGATTCATAAACACATGCTTGTGATATAGTCAGAATCTACAGTGGACTCTGATTTCTATTGTTGTGGAAAGGGTTTTGTTGGTTTATTTGCAAGGATCATGGTGATAACATATTTTCTAACTTGCTAATGACATAGATATATTTCTAAAAGAATATATATAAAAGAACTGATATCCTTGATATTTCCAGAGGTGGCAACGTTTTGTCTAGAGATGACGTGGTGTATGCTCAGAAAGACGGAAACATGCACAGTAACCTATCAGGTGAGTAGAGCTGGGATACATGTGTTGTCAAGGTTACCGTGTCAGTCACACATTATCCAAGGACATATACGAGTGCAGTAACCCCCGTTCCCTCACATGGAGCAGTGACTAATCCTGTCACCATCTTCTCACAGGTTATGGCGTTCTTCAATCTGACCTGGCTTCACTCCTGGACTCGGGCAACAAAGATGTGGAACTGAAGGACCAGAACATCTACAACTCTGCTGGGCTGATGCCTCAGATGAAGACATTCTACCAGAAGCCCAACTCCGTACCGGTCTCAGTGGCACCATATGCCACAACCACACTCATCAACACTAGCAACCAAACAGGACGACCCATTCAGACCAGTGTGAGTAGATTTGGTAGCTTAGTCAAGGAGGAAGTCTTGTACAGGTCTTCTTTGTTTTAATGGATTGTTCCCAAGGAAGCACTGTACTCAAAACAGTCATGTGTCTGTTGGTTGAATATCTCATGCTTACCTTGATGGGATGTTTGTTGCAGGGAATGGAGAGTGCCTTCCGCCCAATCAACCATGCCTATGTGCACAGTAGCGCCAGCGGGTCAGGTGATAGCTGCCAGAAGCCAGAACTGAGGACCAGTGATTCCAACACGGACAACAGCAGACCCAACACAGGGTGTACCCATGACGAGATCCAGTGCTTGGCTAGTCCTGGCAGTGACAGTGGCAGTCTTACTACAGGTACCATCATTCTGCCACAGGTTTATCATCTTCTACAGGAGCATACCCATTGGTAGTCTGGGTTAGAATAGATCCCCAAAATGGATGCTGGTAGTTATAGGTGACCTCACTGATTGGGAGGTCAGGCTCGGTAAATGGTTCTTTGCGTGTCAACAATGGTGTTAATCATTGCCCATAATTTTTAGCTCTGGATTGTCTGGCTCAGATTAGATTATGTACAGACTGCCTTCATCATATAGCTAGGATAATGCAGACTGTGGAATTAAACAACAAACACACAAACTAGAGCAAATAATAAAGCATTTTCATAGATACATACGTAATTTACTACTCGTTTTTGCATTGTAGATGAATATGGAATGCCTGTTAAGAGGACAAAGAAAGGAGCCAAGCCTTGTTGCCAAGGAAAACAGGCCATGGTGAATTGGGCTGAACTGCTCCCACCACCCCCAGAACACCCCCCTCCAAGCGACATTGGAACCCCGCCAGAATCTCCCATGAATACTCTCAACAGAATGGAACGTCAACGTCAAATGAATAATCGTAGTCCTCTTTCTCCCGTTTCAAAGATTTCGGCATGTTCATGCCCTGTTCCTCACGACAGAATGCCTGCAAATATTAGGTGTGTGCCATACTCAGATACAGAGTTCGGAACCCAACCAAGGATGCACGATTGTCGGCCATATTCTCCCAAACAGCTCAATAACAACAGACAAAGGACTCAGTCCCCGACACATGACGGTAGGGGCCAGTCCCCTCGTGGGTTCATGTACCCCCCATGTCACGGGGCACCTAATGACTGTCACATATACCTGCAGCGCCCCTACCACAGTGACGCAGAGAGAACACACATGCCCATGCAGGCGTATGGACCCACATCATTGCATGGATATAAAATTAAACAAATGGAGAATGATCTTAGACATTTAAGCGACCCAGAACAGGGTCCCCTTCCTCCATCTCGGATGTGTTCTCATAGCTTGAGTTCCGGTGAGAATCCTCTGATGGACCGGGCATGTCAGTCATCCCTCCCCAGCCTCGCCAGTGAGTGCATGCACTCTCCCGTGTGTCACGGCAGGTAAGTCATCTTTCTTCAATCCTGAACAACACTTGCAACCTGTACAATCTTCATCAGTGACCTGACCTATTTCATTTAAATATGCTTTATTTGGAATTTCATGCTTTCGATTTCATAGAAGTTAGATCACATGTCAAGCAGTTGAAGTTTGTGAAGACATTATTCTATCAAACTGCTATCACTCTATACTAAGTCATGGAAGTCGAAGTCTCCAGTCTTGGTGTTTTGGTTAGCTGATTAGGTCTTAAAGTTCAAAGGTTGGGCTACTCTCATTAATTTCATGACTGATTTCAGGCCTGGGGGCAGCACTCGCATAAATTTGGTGCTGCATTAAGGTCAATACAGTAAACAGTCAAGTTCAGATGAACATGTAAAGTTTTTGAAAGAAATAAGTCTGTGATATATGACAGAAACAGTTCTAAGTGTGGGTCCTATATTCCTGTGATGTGTGACAGAGAAACAGTTCTAAGTGTGGGTCCTATATTCCTGTGATATGTGACAGAGAAACAGTTCTAAGTGTGGGTCCTATATTCCTGTGATATGTGACAGAGAAACAGTTCTAAGTGTGGGTCCTATATTCCTGTGATATGTGACAGAGAAACAGTTCTAAGTGTGGGTCCTATATTCCTGTGATGTGTGACAGAGAAACAGTTCTAAGTGTGGGTCCTATATTCCTGTGATATGTGACAGAGAAACAGTTCTAAGTGTGGGTCCTATATTCCTGTGATGTGTGACAGAGAAACAGTTCTAAGTGTGGGTCCTATATTCCTGTGATGTGTGACAGAGAAACAGTTCTAAGTGTGGGTCCTATATCCCTGTGATGTGTGACAGAGAAACAGTTCTAAGTTTGGGTCCTATATTCCTGTGATGTGTGAAAGAGAAACAGTTCTAAGTGTGGGTCCTATATTCCTGTGATGTATTTTCCACCCAGGAATGCTGACTCCCCGACATCGGAGGACCTTCAGGATTATGCAGGCGAGTCTGACATGGAAGGGAACAGACTGACCGACTGCCCCACACCGGACTCCAGCATGAATGGGGAGGGAGACGGAAGTGTATCTGGTGAGCTCTATCTTCTAAGGCCAGATGTATTTATTGTAGGTTTATGGATTTTTCATAGTGAAACATTTGGTCAGGAGGTCGAAAATATGAAATACATTGTACAAGATTTTTTAATCATTTTAAAGTTTAATTTGGATCAGTAGGTAACAAAAAAACTTTGCCTGGTTTGGATCCTTATACAAATGCCATAACTGATGGTTTTCAAGATAAAGATAATACCAAATGTGATTCTTTTCTAAAAGACAAATATTTACCAAGTTTTCTCATGTTTACCTGTTACATGTCATATATTTGTACCTTGCTTTTGTTACCTGCATGATTGTTTCTTTGTCAACTTTGAACTGTTTGCCAAAACAGACTCTCTCCTTTTTAGATATGTCTTTGTTTGCATTTCTGTTACATTGATGTATGCTTGCAAAGTGATTTATATGATGTTGCCACGGCAAACAATTGTATGGCAGTTTCCCATCACTAACATACTTTGGTGAGATTGATGTGACTTTGTTCAGCTGTGATGCTTGTTGGACTTGTATCCTAGCTACTAACAACTGGTTGCTTTGGCACTGTAGTCAACTCCGCACACCTAGTTTTGTACTTGTTGGTTGTTTCACGTCCAGGGTCCCACATAATTCCCCTACACTGCCATGTGCATACTCATGGAACTTTGCACAATGTTTAACAACTCCGGTTTCAAGCCTCCCACTGCTATTACCTCAACCCTGTGAAGATCCAGGTTAGAATTGGTCCTCTGCAACCCATGCTTGCCGTAAGAGGCAACTAACGGGATTAGTGATTTGGTTGATGCATGTCATCATATCCCAATTGCAAAGATCGATGCCTATGTCAGTCATGAAATTGTCTGGTTCAGTCTTGAATATTTACAAACTGCCATCATATAGTTGGAATATTGCTGAGTGTGGCGTTAAACATCAAACCAAATTTTACATATTTAATGATATCCAGTCTCATAAAAATAAAAAGAAACTGAAATCTATTCACATATATGGTATAGTTTGGAGTACAGCTTGATTGACCAATGGAAACCACCCAAAATTTGTATGACTCCCATCCAATCAAACACATAATATTTGCAATGAAAAGTACACAAAACAGCATTATCTGCCTTTACTGAACTCTAAAATGGAAAGTGCTTTCACTAAAACCCATCCAATTACAAGCACAAGATTATTTTCTGTTGAACTGAATAGAGCATGTAGGTAACACCTGTATCGTCCCAAACTGGCTTCAACCGGCGGTATCGCTTGGTTCAGACAAGCGATATCTCCTAGGATATTATACTACAAAGAAATTGAGGGGGCACGGGTGGCCCAGTCGTCTAAGGCGCCGCGATTCGCTGTGCAGAGTTGAGTCCTTTGGGCACACCAGAAACCTATGATTGTGGGTTCGAATCCCGGTTTGCCCCGATTATGTTTCTAGGTTTGTCAGCACCATCCCCGTGCTCGTGGGTTTCACCGAAGTAGTAAACGTCTGAGACCTGCATCACTTTGGGCTTTCCTCCCACATTAAGCTGACATGCCTTGATATGACTGGAATACTGTTAAAAGCGGCGTTAAACCTAAATTACTCACTCACAAAGAAATTGCAGCACAATGATTTGCACCATCAGTTTCCATGACATCACAATGCAATGACATCACTAATTGCCACTGAACAGTAGTTTTTGCACTCATGACACTGCTTATTGCTGTTTACAACTGAAACAGTTGAAGAATGATGTAGGATGATAACTAGAATCTCTTTCTTTTGACATCAAATATATCAACAAAAGTCGGTAAAACTGAAGACTTTTAAACCCTTATTGACTTGTATTGATATAGTTGATATCATTGATATGAAAAGACACGAGGGAGAGCTTCTCTATGTACCCCACCGCAACTTCCCCTTTCTATATCCTTGTGGTCCTCAGTACATGTGTACCTGGTTGTGAGTGTTCGGGTGCATGCTCAGCCCTGTTCATTAACACAGGTTTCTCAAGGTAGTGATGTGTTATTCCCCCGCAGGCTCCATACTAGCATCGTGGGCGAGTGTAACCGACCAAAGCAATACCAGTTGTAGTAGTCTAAGATCTAGTGCTGCCAGTTCAAGTGAAGGCTCATTTCTTGCCGCAGAAACCGATTTTGCCACGGCTGTTGCTCGTGCCGCAGAATTGTCAGGAATGACTGTGGTGGGAACTACCGTGTCAGATCCCAAGAATGGTAAGATGGTGTCTCCAGTGTATACAGTTATCATAGTTATTTTCATGTGGACTTACTGTCTACGCAAATTGTAGGATTTCTTTCTACTTCCTCTTGGGTTTATCCTTTCTACAGTTTTGTTTGTGTTTCTGTTTCTGTATATTTTCTATTGTTTCAAACTATAATTTCTGTTATTCTTAAAACTTAATGATAAAGTATTTCCAAATCTGAAACACATAACTTATGTTTGTCAAGTCATTCATTACTTGTGAGGGCCCTTGGGTGTTGCTGATAGACAGAAAATGTTCAAATAGGGAGGCTGTATTGTTTTCCTCCAACCAACAAATAAACTGTGTAATTATATATAATGGAATATTTTTAATAATAATGTATTGGTGTTTGATACAAGTTTTTTTGTAAATGTGACAAGGGAAATTGTTTGACCACTCAGATGGTGATGGAAGCAGTTTCATCCTCAGCCAAAATTTCATTTTAGCTGGTAAGCTAAGATAGTATTTTCAGATTCTAATCAACTGAAAATAATATTGTAGATGCTGGAACATAAGTGCGGCAGTTTCATAGAAATGATACATCGGCTAGATGTCCGTCACATTCAGTAAGGGCCCAGCAAGAAATGACTGATCAATGTCATGTTGTAATTGTATCCTCCATGCATGCAGTCAAGAACACTGTATCTTTTACAGGTAAGAAATACAGGAAGCATCATCGTCAACAGCGACCAACCAGCCCCTACAGCACAGACAGCAACTACAGCGCTGTGGTTCATAAACCCTACCCCAGGTCACAACGAAAGAAACAACTTGTTGATCAAGGTAATCAAGGTAGAACCCAATATTGCATTTATATAAGTATTGACTTCAATTTTGTTTTGTGTCTATTGAGGTATATAGATTTGTAAACATTGATTTGTGTTTTAGAACTTTTTGATATATACATAAATGTCAACAAAAATAACTTCAAATACTGCTCATTTAATCCTTAACACACAAAAAAGATTGAAGGCAATTCAATTCTTATAAATAAATACATCAACAGTAATAACTTCACAGACTGCTTTTTAATCATTAAAATAAAAATACTGTAGCCTGCAAAACGAAATCAGTGACATCGTTCAGCGCAATAATGCACCACAAGCCCCGCCCACTTTACTATCAGCCAATCCGGAAACAGTAGTCTGTGCGTCTGAAAGTAGGATATCATCCATGTCCCAAGTCTGTTGTCAAAGAAACTTAGAACATTTAATCGCTCACTACATAGATTAGGCTTTCAATCATTTTCTAATTTATATCAAGTATTATTAATGACAAAAGTTTTACTTTGGATAAATCTAATTTATCCAGTGTCTGAATTAGGAATACAAGTAAGGGATCCTTGTAACAAGCGTAAGGTTAAGAATGAAACGTTTAGAACACCCCTAGACTCAGATATAGACTAACATTTAGTCTCTGAAATCTTATATTACACAATATCCTTCTTGACTCTAAAAATGAAAAAAAATTCCCTATGCTGATTTCATATGTGGAATAGAGCTAGCTAGAGCTGGCTAGACTTGCTTTTGTATGCGTTTCTAGATTTATTTATTTTTCATAAAATAAATATATTCCACGGTCATGGTGCAGGACTAACTCAGATACTGTAGTAACAGTCATGAAGGAATCCAACAGCCTTCCTTCTTTCCAACACAACCTTCCAATATGTTCTATATTTGTTACTAGCCAAGAAGTATGGTTGCCGTGGCCGTCCTGATCAGATGGACTCATGCATGTCCTACGCACCCTGTGATAGCCAGAATGGAGGTAGGTTGTTGTTGTTGTGTGAAGTTGTTACACCCGTAATGAATGCTGAGAGACCTGGGACTGAATATACAGTCTTCAGTCAGTTGCTCCTTGTCAAGTCTTTGCACACCTCACAATACTTGCATCTGAAACACTTGCAAGGTTATAACAGCATGAGTAATTGTATTATAACATGAAATTGAACTAGTTGAGGTCAGCCAAGATTTGTCTTGTGTGTCAATTTGACTGCTGCTGTATGCTACTTTTAACCCTTTTGCCCTTGTTTCTGCAACGAAAACTAACAATTCACACCGCAGTCAACATGTTTGTAATCATACATGTGTGGAAGTGCCTTTGTTGATGGTTGGATTGTGTGGTGTTTTCACCAGCAGCATGTTTTAGTCATGGGTGTGAGGGTTGTCAAACTAATATGTTTTGCACGCAGGCCAGATTGTTTGTTTTGGGTCAGTAGGTAGGATATTTTTTAATTCCAATTTCACATACTGTTTCTTATTTCCTACCACAATAATTTATTGAGTTTTTAAGTTTTTAAGATAAATTTTCAACAGGTTTTAATTACAGTATTTCAAATAATTCATTTGTATTGACAGTAAATGAGTACTGTTTTTTGATAATTCCCTGATTTCTGGTTTCTTTTAAATATATATTTTTTTTCACATTCCACTTTTGGAGATTCGTAAACCATGTTCTGTTAAAAAGTCTGGCCTCGTGGGTGTGAGAGTTGTCCAACTAATATTTTTATCACTTATGTACCAATTACCATAGATGGTGTGACCTATGGAGTTTCACAAAGTTTCTCAGTAGTTTTAATGTCACTAGATGTTCATCCAGTTTTAATGACTACATCCCAAAACTAATCAAAATCAATATTTAACAGGCAGTATCTTTAGTATTAACTTTGTTTTCTTTCATTTCTTAAACATGTTCAGTCTGATAGATTGTATTTGATACTGTGAAGTAAATAATACTCACATTGCTGTAACGTAAAGTGTCACACTTTCTAGATGTAATATATTAACTCACTATGCATACGACTGAGGTTTTCAAAGTTTATGGTGATCTGGAATCTAAAACTTGCCATAAATTTTGCTGCCATCTTGATGAGCACTGTACTGCACTTCTGTCTTATCTTTATATAGTGAACATGTTAGCAGCTCGATCTTGCTGTGCTGAGCATATATCTCATATTTAGCTATGTGGAGTGATGCTTGAAGTCTTGTGCTTACACCATGAGAAAAATGCAGAGCACTCCACAGTCCGGCTGATCTCCGCTGCTCATGTGCTTTCATAGCTTGTGCCTACTTTATGCTTTGCTTTTGACCCACTTTCAGTCGCTGACCTACCCATGTACTACAGACCTAATTTCCCTATGCCCGCCGCCCTTCCCACAAGTCCATGTGGTTCCACACGGTCATCTTTGTCTGGGAAGAGCCAAGCAGGCTACATGTCTCCAGGAATGGCCAACAATGGCCACATATACTGCACGATACCTGCATTGCCACCCCCACAAGACCCCATGTACGGCTCCCAGGACGGCTGTGTGTATGGTATACCCATGCAACCGTCAAATAGCAATTTGTATCAGTCAGGGAGTGATGTAAGTATGTTCGCAGTGAAGGGGCCAAGTAGGGTCACTCTAACGGGTTCCCCCATCCATTTACTTTTCTTGTAACAACGATCTCAATAAAGTCCGATCTTGGTGCTCACTACCGCTATGCCAAAGTTCTGAGGACATCTCATTACAGGTCAGGTCAGAAGGACTTTTCACGAACTTTAACCAACCAACCAATGAAATGACCAACAGGAAGTTGACATTGGCCAGTCAGAAAGCAGCTTTCTCAATTCAAAATGGTGACAAGAATATTTTGACAAGAATTGAAGTTTGAAAGCTGAGGAAAAGAAATTTTAGAAAATGATTCCAATGAGCTACGGAAAGTCTTCCTTTTCCAACGTTTATCCCATTAAAGTGAAAGTTAGACAATGTTTGGCAATCAGAATCAGTCGTACAGCCTGTCATTAGGAATACACCTTTGTTAAGCTTTTAGAGATTGCATGATTTGAATTTTTTTAAGACTTTCCGATCTGGGAAGTGACGCTCTGAATTGGTCAGATGAAAGGTTGTTCTGAAATGACCTATAATGTCATGTTGACAGATCTTAATGTAGTGGTTGTGAACACTATGATATGATTTAATGAGATAGCTAATAACGATTAAATCAACAGTCGTCCCACAGGATCAGGAGGATTTAAACTCCTGGTTTTCTTCAGGTATTGAATGGTGTTACACACTTAGGACTACCGGTAGCTGGCCTCTGGTGGTGAATGTTTTTCACATAGCTGTACAATCCATTCTATCACATGAATGAGCTTATGAACCTTGTGTACATGTGGTATTGTTGTGTATAACCACTCATATCATCATGCAAGCTTCCTGCATATCAGCGAGCATATTGTTCATTATGTATATCATGTATATCATGTATATCATGTACATCATATAATCTGTTATTTCATTTTCTGATGCAATATTGTTAGATAACATATTTTTCTGTTCAGTTCACTAATTCCCAATTACTCTTTTGAATTTAGTGCTGTAAACAAATGTTTTATGCAAGAAAGTTCAGCATAAATATACTTTTGCTATTTCTTCATCTAATTCAAAATCTGTCCTGAACTTTTGCTGTAAGTAAATAGTCATGGATGGAAATGTGTGATGTGTCAAATATATTTGCATGCCACACTTTGCAGATGTGAATTTGTGTTCAAACCTTTGAAAGTGCATGCAATTTGCAAACAATTTCCTTCGAGTTGTCTAAGTTTTGTACACTAAAATGTGATGATCGAACCAACAATCCAAATGTACAGTTCATAACAGATGCTGTGTGTTGTTTGTTGTTTCATAACAGTAACAATTCAATAACTTTTCATAATGAAGTTTTTCCTTTATTTTTCAGATCCCCATAGCATAGAAAATTGACGTGGAAAGTGAGCTTGGTGAAATGGTGAAATGACCTGAGATGGCTGTAGATCACTTCATGCTAAATTGCTACAATGTCTAGCTGGTGGAATGTGGATCTAAAGAAATTGTGTGTGTAGATGCAGGAGATTGCTTTGTAACCATAGATGACCATGTATGGTTGGCATGGCAACGTGGCAGGGTTGTCTTGCATATGCTTCATGTGATAACCGCTACAGTGGTATCTGTTTCCGTGACACTGCATGACTACAAGGATCGGCATGACGACAGTGTCGGACACAGGCTCTGATCCTTGTGTCCAGGTGGTTATCTGTAGACTAGCAACATGGCACTCACATGCCATGATCGATATGTGGAAAGAAGTCAGAACTAATGCTAGCAATATAGTTGGTTGGTATGCTTTTGATTGGCAATATGTCAAGCCTCAGATTCTGGAGAACCTGCAACCAGGAAGATCCATGAGAGCTGTCTTCGTCAACAGTCTGGAGAGGTGATCCATCAGTTCTGGTGCTAGATTTCATCCAAGCTGGGTGGATCCATCAGAAACAGACCATCATGGCTCATGTACCGTGGGAGAAAACTCAAAACACCAAATTACCTCGGCCAAAAGACATTGATCATGTATCCATGAATGTGGTTCCTGAGGACGAACTGGAGGAAAAAGAAGCACATTTCATACGACAATTTATAAACTGATATATTCCTGTGCATATGGAAAGGGAAGAAAGTTGTTTTGAGGAATAAAGCAGAGTGCCTGATTCATCATATGGGTTGGAAGTTTTGATTAGCAGTGCTTCACTGTGTGACACACTAACTGAAATACACTGGACACGGTGGGAGTAATGTACTCGTGTGACAGGTGCAATGAAGTGTGATGTACTGCTGTGTTGCCCACAGAGAAACACATCTTCTATCCGGGTTGACATCTGTGTGAAGTAACGCCAAAGGATCCTTCAGAACAGTGCACTATCAAGTACTGTTTAGACAGCAGCTGCCTGTTGTGTGATCGGCCTGTGTAGTAACCCCTAAATATACCTTCCCAACAACGTTAGAACTGTGCAACAAAAACCACAAGTACTGTAGTTGCGCTTTCAAAGTAAATGTACAGGACAAAAAACGGTTTTGTGGGCTCATCATCTGTTTGCTCTGCTATGACCTTTGCCAAGGTTATTGTCGCTGTTAAGTTCATCAGTGCTTGTTGACCTTTAACCATTGACCTACAGCTGTATATGGTGCTAAGAAATCCATTCAGAGCATTTACTGCGATTGACTGTTCACGGAGTCTACTACTACACTGTACATAGTTCCGCATATTCTCCAAGGATGGCGTGTTTGAAAGTGCTAATGGATTTCATAATGCCGTCGAATACATACGGTCGCGTCTTGCCATAAACTATAACAATATTCTCTGGAAACCAGTCCTATTGGATTCCGCATCATTTTTTACGTAGACAGTTGGACATGTATACAATTGGTTGTTGCGGCAGTAGGTCTGTAGTTGCCGCAGCAAGTTTGTTTCCTGTGGACTATGAAGGTATATATTTGCTATTCATTCATCAAGCAGAATTATGGAACCCCGGCATTGTTTCTAGTTCCTCCATTTGATTACCATATAGTTCTGCCCTAGATCTGTCATACGAGAATATACTGATGTATATTTGTGCGGAGGAGCGGTGTTACTGACTTAATTGTATGTATGTGTTGGATATGGCAAGTTGGACTGATACAAGAAAGAGATGTTTGTGCTTTTGTTATACAAACGTTGACAATTTTACCTAGCGACTGCTTTGTGAGTCTATCCTGCAAACAATGTCATCCTTCATTTCACAGAAAGATGGACGCATGTGTCATATCTCTTCAGGAAATGTGTACATATGAATATGCATATTTATATAGGAAACCCTGCATAAATTTTATGGATCAATTCCTGGCGAGTTGTCGTCATCATAATAAGAAACTACATTTTCCCTTCTATTTTATTGATCTCCATTCAATGGAAAGTCTCAAGTATTTATTTATTAGTTGTAGTTACTTTGAGTTTGTAATGAGGTTTCCTGGCTGTGGCTTACATTGCTCACAAACCATTTGTTTTTGACGAGAGTGATGAAACAAATATGATCTGCAGCAAAGCCCAGTAAAGAAATTAAAGTGTTTTTTTTGCATAAGACTACATTGATCAGTATTTTTCAACCATTTATGCAGATTTGACGTTGTCTGTGAATGTAAGGGTACAGATTGTGTATAGCATCTTGTTCTGTGTACATTGCTTGTCTCAATAACTGTACAGCAGGCAACTACACTAGTGTAGGCCAACCAAATGGTATGCATAATAGAGGAAACACTTTATTTGTTGGGTTTAAATCTTACAATTGTTCATGTTATGTAGGCCAATCAAATTTGAATCAACTGTGTACACTTTGTATGTGAAAGTTCCAATTTCGTTTTGTAGGGCTTTGGTAACATGGCTATTCCCAACCTTCACCTTCAAATGTAAGAGATGATCTGCTTAATCAGGACATAAGAAATATCAGATTCAGACATAAAACTGCAATAGTTTCACACTGTGATATTTCTGGTTTGAATATTTGGGATTAGTTTTTGTTTGTTTTATAACAATCCTAAGTCTGTAAAAGTATATGTGCAAGATTGTGTTTCTCATGTACAGAAAGGAACAAGCGTTGCGGAGTATGACAAATCCAATCCTGGAGGAATAGTTTCACAAATGAACTGATATTTTTTAAGAAGGGGTCACAAATCTGACTCTGGTCTAGGAGTAACATTTAATGCAGAACAACATAGTTCATCATCGATTGACAAGTTGAAGACTGAAGAAACAATGTTCTAAATTAGTGTTGTCATTTATCACTTCCCCAGTGACGAGTAGATGGTACAGTTTTGTGTACCTTGTATGTTCTCATTCTTAAAAGCAATATCATTGTGGATTTTATACATATTGTACAGTCATCTGTTAATTTTGTATCTATGTACGTAGGTATTTATTGTTCAATATTTTGTGTGCGTAACCAACGTTGAAATGTAAATACAATGTCTGTATAGTGATTGATAAAAAGACTGGATTTGTAAACTGTCTTTTCTCTGCTGTCAAAATCCTACCACATTTGCATGGTGAAAGAAAAGCAATGCCAAAATGCAGTCTTCTTTCTCTATCTGGATATAAAGGTCTGACATGCTGTCATACTGGTGTTGTTTTTTGTTTGAACTCCAAATGGAAACAAATATAAAAACACAATGGATGGGCAACCACCTTCAAATGACTTCCTAAAGACCAACATGAGTGGTATATCCTCTGTAAACTCTCGACATTTTGGTTAATCAATACTGGTACATATTTACCCGTTCTTACTAAAAATGGTACAACGTGTACCTCTATTCCAAAAACAAATCTGATTCTTCGAGTTGATGTTTCCACTTGCTCAATGAAGCTATGTGTGCTTACAACATTTTCTCTATACTGTATTATACTGAATACTTGCTGCAGCCTCAGTTTCTACTTTCGCCAGTGTCAAACATGTATTTCCTGCAGTCTGCAAATCTTGTAGCTAACTTTAAGTTCTATCAAAAGAATGTCTTGTATCATAAGTTCTGATCTGCCCTGTTCTAATCGCTGACTGTTCTATGTGACTAGATTTGAAGTAAAAGGAGCAAAAATATTGAATTTACTTTGCATGAGTTGTGTTGTTTTTGCTGCAGTAAATTACCATGGTGTCCTGTTGAGGCTAGTTGACAAAGGGTTAAACCTGCAGAGTTTTTATAGTCGAATGCTGGGAGTGAAGATGGTTTGACAAGCAGAGATGACATTTAGCGATAAAATGTGTACAGAGTGAATAGCGGAGTTTTACACGACACACAAGTGTGCATCCAGTGCACACAAATGGAGAGGAAGGACACAGAAAAAAATACTGCTTCCTAAGGGACACACTATACTATCCATTGTACCTACAGAGCATCAAGAGCAGTTATGGATGTCTGCTATTTCATCCATCACTCATGACCACTGTCCACATGATCATTGATACATTCCAGGCTCTAAAGCAATTACCTAAACGTAAAGTACACTACACCATTCATTACCTTACACAGGACCCTCATACTGTCTGCAAGGACCTTAAAATTTGTACTGGGTGTCCCCTGGACCCCTACTTTTGCAAGTCAGGTAAAACCTTGGGAATGTCGTTTAGACATCTTGGGTACTTGCATGACAATCGGCCATAGACAATGAACCGATCTCAAGGCCTGATATCATGGGGCAGGGGATTTGTTTTGGTCACTGCTTTAAAACATACTGTTTTCTGTATAAGGAGCTGTACAAAATATATGATATTTCACAACTCATCACCCCTCCAAATACGAAATGGTTCATGCCTGAGATGTCCACATTATTGGTATACAATGACGGTCATCCAGTTCACAACAATGCGTACGTCTAAGGCCCAAATATATTTTTTTGAGGTTTACAGAATCTTGGCCCAAAATTCAGGTTGGTGCATTGAAATAATCTAAATATAGGAATTCCAATTTCAAATTTAATTATTTTAATATCCTTAAGATTAATTTTCAAAAGGTTTCTATTATAGTATTTTAAATATTTTATTTAATAGAATCAGTAAATGTTGTTTTTGAACATTTTACTTTTTTCTGGTCAGAAGAATAAAAAAGACGCTGCTTTTCATATTCTTCCTTTTTAACATTTCAAATTTTTGGAGTCCATGGGTTTTAAAGTTTTAAAAAATGTCTGGTCTAATCTCCAAATTTAGATACATGTATAAGTGAGTGAGTGAATACTGTCAGCAGAATTGTCTGTGGTCTGTCAGTAATCCACAACATTTTGGGTTCAATGATGCCCAGATCACATTGTCCCCTACATTTATAATATCCTACATATGGTGTGATGGGAACTCGTTCTATTCTAGAACATTGGATTTGACTACTACGAAACATACATTACTAAAGGCGCTCGGTTCCAAACTAAAATATATGATGTCTAATTTTAAAAAAATCAAAACAGAGTAGGTTTATCTCTAAAACGAAGTAGCTGCAAAATCTGTTGCTAATGTAATGTGTATCTCATGGTGCGATTTGGCCCACTATATATACATATGTGTTGCTTTTATATTGAATGATTTGGAGCTTTTCATTTGCCTGGAGAACAGACTTGCATGGTTTGGGCTTACATGCCAACAGGTATTCAGAAAGGACGATCAAGATCATTTAGAAAGAAGGTGAACAAGTGTGTGAGTGGCTAATTTGGATTTAAGCAGCAATAATCCAGCAACATCTGCTGCTATAACACTGTAACAAAAACATACTTTTGGGGGCAGATCATGCCAAATGATCTCACTACTTTAACATTGTAACAAGAATGGCACATGACACCAAATTGCGACAGACCCTTTCTGGGGCACATGACACCAAATGAGCTCAGTACTATAACATTAAGTCTTTGAAAGCATTGATAAGTTGGAAGAATACAATGCATGACACTTTTATGCTGATAGAAGAAACAATAAAGTAGTTGTTTTCCAGAAACAAATGTGTCATGTTTTCATACCACAATAGACAGCCTCCTTGGTCTAGTCTAGTCAACTCCATGCACCTGGCTATATAATTGCAATGATCTTGGATGCAAACTTAAACCCCGAATTCACCTCACCTCTTGGTGAGTTTTCACCCTTCTTGGGCAGATTACACCAAATTAACTCACTACCACAACATAAGCAGTTGGAAGTTGGAAGAACATCAACAAATAACATTTTTTATGGACCAAAAAAATTAAACTTGATATCTATAAACAAAAGTGTTATGTATTCATTGTAACAGAAGCAGAACTTTCTATGGCAATTTACAAGCAATGAGCTCACTGCTGTAATATTGTAACTATTACATCAAGAAACTCTTACTTCAAGAATATAACAAAAACCGACTGTCTATGGCAGATTAAACTCCCTTCTATGCATTGTAACTGTAAATCTTAAAAATTAAATGAAAGGTCTCCAAATCAAATATATTTGGTCGTTTGGTCGAAGCACAGGAACCTGTGGGTCGAAGTCCATATTATCATGGCGTTGCGTCACGACTAGTTGACAGGCCAGTCTTATTATCGCAGGCGTCACCAGGATATTTCAAAACGTTCATGCCTGATATGGAAAGTTATTTTCTACCTACCTGAATGTCGTAATCCTTCGAAATAATTAAAAAACATGTATTGTTTCGGCATCCGCTGTAACCATGCCGCTCACGTGCGCGCGTGCGTGCTCATGGTAACGACTAAAAACTGCACTGTGGGTGTTGTGACATCTCCTATATAAGGTGATCTTGGTTGTGACCTGTGCAAACTGCTTAGCCTATTGATCAATGATCGCAATAAATCGAGTAACTTAATAATTATTCGTCTAAAGCGGAGATTTCTATGTTACAAACACTTGTTTGTATTTCCTCTGTGATCAGGACCGGCTAGATCATTATAGCAATTACCTCCCTTCTGGTACGCCGGATGCCGAGCCCTGTATATGTTCTTTAACGCCACACTCAGCAATATTCCAGCTATATGACGGCGGTCATTAAAAAAATTAGAATCTGGGCCAGGCAATCCAGTGATTGACATCATGAGCATCGATCTACACGAGTCAGCGAGCCTGACCACCCGATCCCATCTGTCGCCTTTTACGGCAAGCATGGGTTGCTGAAGACAGTTACTAACCCCGGATCTTTTATAGGGTCGTTTTGGTGAGGTGAAATGGGGCAGGTGATATGATATTGTAAGGTATGTTATCATGTTTCAGTGTGAAGAGTGGGTGGGTATAGTTTTACGCCGCATTTAGCAATATTCCGGTGATATCATGGCAGGGAACACCAGAAATTGTACTCATGCGGGGAATCGAACCCGGGTCTTCGGCGTGACGAGTGAACGCATTAATCACAAGGCTGCCGCCCCGCCCCTCCCCAATAGGAAGAAAACACAGATATTGAAGGCCACGCTGATTATTTTGTTTACTTTTGATGTCAATAATGATACTTGATTTGGTAAAGAGTTATACTACACGGAGCACAATTCTATAATTTAAAGCTTCATTAACACCAATTTACCAGAGACAATGAGGAAATACACCTCAAGTAAATAAAAGCGATGAAACACTTTCCACTTTCTTGCAATACCAGTCGGTTGCACGATTCCGACTATACCATGAGCATGTGTTTATGAATCACTATCAATACTGATGATACCGGGTGTTTCGCGAAAAGGTGAGCGTATCCTGCCCCAGGTGGCACCCGTCACAAACACATGCGAAGGCAAGTCAATTATCCACCTGAAATAACACGTCACATGTCTACCATAAAACGTTGTGAAAGCTTCACTGAGGTTCCATGTTGTAAACTTGATCAAACAACTTCTGAGCAAGAGTTGTATGACGATCTTTGAATTCTTGGTAGAAATTAGGCCATGCTCGATTGTATCTCAAAAGTTTAGAAATGACTGACCGATCTCAATCAAGTAATTTCCTAATTCATGGTTGCCCGTGAAGATCCGGGGTAGAATAGGTCTTCAGCAACCCATGCTTGCTGAAACAGGCGACTAACGGGGTCGGGTGGTCAGGCTCGCTGACTTGGTTTGATGCATGTCATCGTATCCCAGTTGCGTGGACTGATGCTCGTGATATGTAATCACTGGCTTGTCTGGTCCAGACTCGATTATTTACAGACCGCCGTCATATAGCTGGAATATTGCTGAGTGCGCCGTTAAACAGCAAACCAACCAACCAAACAAACAAATTCGTGGTAGAATTTAATTTTGCCAGCCTATAAATCGGATCACTCTGCTTTATCGTTAACACTTTCTCTATACGAGGAGTACAGAGGAAGCATTTTGTCTGAATTGGACGAACAAATTAGAAAGGGAAAAATAAGTGAGTGAGTGAGTTATTTCAGCTATATCATGACGAGAGAAAGTACTACATTCAAAATAGATATAGTTAGACCTATAGGAAATCTGTCGTCGAAAGGCTGTAAAATAACTAGACTTATCACAGATTTTATTTAAAACTAGTTTATAACCACAAAAATATATCACCCTACATAAGAATACATGTACATAATACAAACGAGCTAAAGATCGCCAGCCACTGAAGATAGATCACCACACTAGGGACCATTTTGCTACCTGCATGGACCCTAGCAGGAGTTACACCATCCCTTCAGTCGCTGACGATTGTACGTAATTGTAGCCACAATTAAAATGTGAATTACTCTACGTTTAAAAGCGTAGAAGATTTAAATAATTTTTGAATGACATTGACTTACAACTTACAAATTAAAAGAGATGAAGAACGGTTTCAACAAATTTGAATTCAATGACTAATTAGAAATAAAGACTTCAAAATAGATTTGTCGGCTAAAAATAGAAAAATAAGACAAAAACGCTCATACAAAGTTTTATAGATAGAAGTGGCGACATAATCACAAATAGTCAATCAATTCTCATACAACAAAAATACTTTTTATCAGAAATTATTTTCGATGTAGATATTTACACCGGATCAAGCTGGATTGACTACAACCAGGTTAAGAGACTCGTAATGAAATATTTGCATATATACCTCTCTTCACTTGGCTGTAGTCACTCCAGCTTGTCAGAATCCACACAGAAACGTCGCTCAATGCGTAA